AAGTCACACAGCAATATGGAGCCCAAGTGAGAGAAATCAGCCAAATTCCTTTCTACTCAGTTTTACACCACCAATCCAGACGGATTTTCTGTAATAATCTCAGCCTCTCCACTGAAGGGAGGCTTCATACCATTAGACTCTCTTGGTCCATAAGCCAAACTCAGCATCGATCAAGGCCATCCAGTCATGACAGGGAACCGGCATGGTCAGGGGCCAACTCGATCCCTGACGACCTCTCCGCCTCCAGCTCCCGGCATTCCAGGAACCCTCTGTCCTCTCTGGGTGATGCGGTCCCTGCCTTCAGGGGACTGAGCAGCTCATCACAGGGATGACTCACATACAAACAACGCAGGATCAGACATGTGAACAAAGAAAACCAAACATGTAAGTAGGTATGAAATGGACAACTTTCTGAAGGTGTTAGAAAAGTTTTGTGCAAGTTTAGGTGACTTTTGGGAGAAGGGCAGGATTTAAAGAGATGAAGGCAGGAGAGAGGGGCCGTGCCAAGAAGAGGTGCTGGCTGGTGTACCCGAGGGCCTGCAGGGCGGGAAGCGTGCGGAGAGAGGTCACAGCGCGAGTGGTCCGGTCTGGCTGGAGAACAGGGATCAGGATGGAGAGAGTGTGAAGCAAGGCTGCCAAGGAGGGTGTGAGCCATTTTCAGAGGTTCTGAATGTCCACTAAGGATTTTGGACTTTACTGGTTAAGAACTCCATGCAACAGAATGTTCCAGAGCAGGAGAATAACAAGACAAAGAAGTATTTTAGAAGAATTCAACACAATCTGACATGGTACAAGAAATTAACATCTAAGAACAAACAAGTACAAGCACAGAAGCAAACGAACCAGAGAGAGGGGGTTCGTGGAGATGCGCAGTGAGAACCCTGCGCTGTTCTGGCTAACGGGCTCCTCCAACCTAAACTCTGGTGGCAGCAGCAAAAGTGACGCTGGGAGCAAGTTCAGAGTCACAGGATCTGGGAACCGGAAGACAAAGTCCTCGGCTTGAAAACTTTGCGAGACGAAAACCTACATTCCTGGAAAAATGGTCATGGCCTTCATGCAAGCAGGAAAGTCAATGGAGCTGAAGAGCTTCCGTCTCTTGGGGAGGAGCAGCAGCAGAGACAATGATCTCGGGTTTGAAACGTTCATTTCCCTAATAAGACCTGAATCTGTTGTATGCACCCACTGCCATAGACTGTGTGATGGACTGTTGAAAGAAATCCACCGAGCACTTGCCTACCCTTCGAACTTGCTTAACTAGGTCACGATAACTTGAACCCGCTGGTCACTTGCTTCATGCAAGCTGGCTTGGCAATCTGCTCAGCTGTCCTCAGACTGACCTCAGCAGATCTGCTGGCCGCTCCTCACATCTGCTCGGACCAATAAGGGAAGGAGGTTCCGATCTGGAGATGAGCTTTCTGGCCTGGATTTTGCTTCAGAAAGGGCCACAGTATGTAAGGCACAACTCTAGATCTGCAACTTTTTACGCTTCGATATTTAAAGTGAAAGTCCATAGGTAAATGTCAGTGATCCATTTCCTCATTGCTGACCTCCTGACTGATGAAATCTAGATGTCAAGATGCTCATGTGTCGCTTCATCCTTGATGGTGGCATAATCTACACAAATTCCGTCACACGCATTGGGAGCGGTCAGGCTCCTACGTAAACCGAAACATCACAGAGACCAAGCTGCTTCATAAGAACAGAAATTCCCAACTGTAAGAACACGGAGCTAATCAGTGCTCCCCGGCAGGGCCTCGGACGCTGCGGAATGAGATTCACGCCCTCAGAAAAAGATGCTACGTGCGTGCATGCACGCTGAGAGACACATACTTCAGAGCTGACCCCCAAGTGCCACGCTTCATAGGCTTTGTCAATGCTGCAACATGTGGTGATAACGTCTTCAAACATTTAAAAACTTTTGAGCTTTTAAAAATGAGTGAGGCCCTTTATTCAGTTAAAAAGAGACGAGTGATTTAGAAAGCAGGGTATGACTGTGCAGGTTGGAATACAATCCAGACATGGGGTTCTCGCTGCCCATCTCAATGGGTGCGATGGCCAGTCTCCAAAGATGCGCCCACCCCACTAGGGGGCAGACTGGGGAGATGGAGAGCCTTTGTGTCCCCTTGCCCCTGGGAGGGTCTTGTGACTTGTGGCTTTCTTGGACTTTGAAGCCCAGGTCTTAAGAGCTCTGGCAGCTTCCACTTTATCTCTCAGAAGCTGCACTCACACGAAAAGCTGAGACTGCCCAGCTGGAAACAGAGGCCTAGAGGACAGAGAGGCCTAGAGGACAGGGAGGCCTGAGTCCTCTTGGTCAGTTGAGCCCGGCTGAACTCCAAGCTGAATGCGGCTGCCTGGAGCCCAGGCAAACAGAGCAGATGAACCCCAGCCACCCACAGAATTATGGGAAGTAATAAACAGGTGCTGTTTCAAGCCACTGATGGGGGGTCCTTTGTATTACGTGGTAATAGATCACTGAAACAATGGGAAACAAAAGATACCAAATGGTTAGAAGTGGCCCATTCAGAGATGGCCAAATGATCAGTGACCATCTGCAACCATTCTGGGGACTGCACTTGTGTGTGAAAACCAGTTTCAGTGGAGAGACACAGATGGGACCCGCTCTTGCCCTGTTCAGACACTAGCACTCGGCAACGGCCAGGGTACAGGCGCCGACAGGCACATGGTGCCGTGACGATCCTCCCCACCGGCCCTTGTCGAGCTAGAAAAACCATCCCCCTTGTCTGGTTTACGAAGCTTTCTCCCTCCTTGTGTGCCTGCCCATGTCTGTTAGAGAGAATAACAAGATGACGAATGCAGGTGTGAATAAGGCTTCCATACAAGTTTTGGGAGGATGAAGAGAAGTTGGCAGAGGCCTCAGCTGCACTCTCCTGCCTGGACGCCGTACGGCCCCACAGACTGGGCCATCCCGGAGTGGACTGGATTGTCAGCCCCTGTTCTTGACCCTTCCCTACACACCCTGGCCGTGAATGCACTGCGGTCAGATGCACTTCCCTGCCTCTTGTCTTTGAACCTGTTCATGCGACTTGACTTGACTTGATGGCTGGTACCAGTGCCAGCGTGTCAGCTCAAAGCCCAAGCTTAAGCGGCATCTTGTACCTTGCTCGCACTTTTTACCCTTTGCACAAGGAGGGCATGCCCCCTTGGCTCACGGTCCCAGGAGGAAGATGAGAGACATTAGGGCAGAGCCACTCGGGCTGCCCCACCAGTCCGTGACCGAGGGACACGTGCTCATTGCTGCACGCCACTGGGACCTGGGCCAATAGCTGCCCGACACAAGGCTCCCTTATTAAACGTAACATCTGAAAACCACAAATGGTACTTGAGGACAACGGAAAGGCTTCTCGGCTATAAGAGTTGTAACTAAATTAGCAAACGGATGTTTAAGTTCCTTCCAATGAGTTGTTTTTCCAGAAACTGTGGCTTCCATGCTCTATCAGGGATGTCAAACTCATTTTCACCAGGGGCCGCATCAGTCTTGCGGTTGCCTTCAAAGGGCCGAATGTAACTTTAGGACTGTATAAATGTAACTACCCCTTAACTAGGGTCAAGGAGCACGGCGCTGCCACTGGGTAGAAACAAGGTGGAGGGCCGGATTCGGCCTACAGGCCTTGTGTTTGCCACCTGTGAGATTCTAGACGCTAGCTTTATTAAGATGCGAGGTTCCTCTTCTCCTGAGCTCTAGAGCCTATAGAGTCACCACTAGGAGCAAATTTATTCCAGGCTTCTTACTTCTTACTTACAAGTACTTCTTAAAGCAAAAGCAAAACCCTCTTCCGCACATACACTAGTCCACTTTACTGTTAGCCCTTCTGCAGCATTCCCCAGTCCTCACTGGGGGATGGAGGCAACCATTACAATGGATCAAAAACTAGAGACTCTAAATGCAGTAGAATTATTTGAAGTGACTAAATAGTGCAACTGTAGCTATTTACACGTAACCTTTATTTCAGCAAAGTTCCTCATCGAACAAGAGATGAAGAGGTGCTTTCAGGAATACAAGGGCCATGTCAATGTCAAGTAGTGGGTATTATTGTTAAAGCAACTCAACAGACACTGCTTCAACTGCCTTGTACCAACTGGATTTTTGTACTGACACACAGAAACGATTCATTGGGGCAAGAACTCATCTGTCAAGGAACACACTTAAGATGAGATGAACCCCAAAGCCCAGAAGTGGCCGGGCAAGGGCTGGCCGTGGCCAGCGAGGGCACTGGGCTTGCTGTGCGATCGGTGGGGAGCTCAGTGGCTGCCTGGAGGCCACGGTCATACTGAAGGGAAAACCGCTACGCGCCCCTTGGACTGCTGCCTCCAGGAATGAAGGTCCAGTCACATTAGAGCTTCGAAAGAAATCTGGGGTTTCATGCGAAACGTCCTCATTCTTAAAGGCCATCTTACTTTACATTGTAAGACTCGCTGGGAGTCGAAGAAAATGTATCAGCAGGCCACATGCGGCCACAGGCTGGCAGTTCGCGACCTCCGCACTTGGTATTCTAAAGTCAGCTTGAAACGTCACAGAGAGGCTAAAAGATGATTCTTAAATTCCTTGTATTTGTAGTTTTGGATCTGAAATTTTATTGTCACAGAACCTCCCCACCCCCCGACAAACACTTCATTCTCTCATTTATAAATCCTCACTCCCTCTACTTTCGGACCTCGCCGCTTTCAGTCTGTAATTCTCTACCAGGACACCCTTATGACAGGTGTCCCACACACCTGTGTAAGTCCTTCTAGTTACTGAAAACTTGATGCAAATGCTGGCTTCTGCATAAAACCCCCATGATCCTCCTCGAAGTCCCCTACATATAAACTATAACAACATTGTCCAGTGGGTCAGATCTGCATTGATTTCTAATCCCATCTCATCAGCTCCTTTCCCCACCCCCGCAAATGCTGCAACCAAATAACAACACCACAAGATTCGCCCGATGGAAGTCAAAGGCCGGGATCAATAGGCCAAGATCAAGTTCAAGGGCACTCACCGCCAAACACATCTCCGTTCTGGTAGTTCTTCCCTTTCTGGGCTTCCTCTTCATTTTGAACAGTGGCAACATGCTTGGCGGAGGCACAGCCCATAGTCTCATTCGCTCAGCTTCAGCCGGGCTGAACTGCAAATCATCTCTACAGACACGGGGACATCTTTCTTTTCTTTAAACACGAAGAAAACCAGCCTTCCTGCTGAGTCGGTCAAGATGTGCGCACCTGCAAGAAGTGAAAGCCAGATCAGAATGCGTGAGACAAAACCCACGTCTGGGTGTCTTGCTGTGCGGCGTGACCACCAGGCACTGGGATTCCTGCACGGCCCCATCGCGCTGGGGATGTGACGGCGCCCCGCCGAACGCGATGCCCCATGGGCCACCCTACCTCATCCCCGTACAGCAAGCAGGAGCAGGAGGCATGGCCCCTGCACCACGCGTGGCTGAACTCTTTGAGGAGGTACAAATACATACATATAGTTATTCCAATAAATTCCAGAGCACTACTGCTTGCTACCACACATGTAAAGCGCATGCATGTTTGCTAATTATGTTCTGGAATATGAAAACCTTCAGCCCTGGCCAGGTAGCTCAGTTGGTTAGAGTATGGTCCTGATAACACTAAGATTGTGGGTTTGATCCCAGGTCAAGGCACATACAAGAATCAACCAATAAATGCATAAATAAGAGGAACAATAAACTGATTCTCTCTCAAATCAATCAATAAAAAATACTTTCCAAAAAAACCATCAGAGGAAGGAAAGCATGCTTATGAGATGCACATCGCTCAGGCAGCTGCGGAAAGTTGTCCACATTCCCCATCCTGTTCTGCAGGCCTGATCCCAGTTCCTCTCACTTTGCCAGGAGGGGACACTCCTCTCCCCAGGTGGCTGCTAAGGGTCATTGTGATTGTCGCGGCTGCTGCTGCATTCCCAGCCAGCACTTTTCAGAGCAGCATCCCCTTCCTCCACGTCTCCAGCTCCACCTGGCAAGATCACAGGTGTGGGCTCCCAGAATGAATTCCTTCCTTTTTAAAAAGGAATGTGGGAAAACCACCTCACGGTACAAAGGTGAGCAACCACAAGAGAGAGTGGAGACCTGCCTTGCCCGTCTGTTGCCAATTCTTCAGAATAAAGAAAATGAAAATAGAAAAGAGAGGGGGAACCCTAACAAATTCCCAAAGGACGGGGCAATCCAGTGACAATGTACCGTGGTCCTCTCTGGAACTCTCTTTCCTCTCCCTCAGGTTTCGTGTTCCAGCCTCCTATGCTATCCGAGAAGCACTTGTAAGAATCTAGGACGTGAATGATCCTTGGCTGCCCACCCTTGAAAAGCATGGGTGGTGTGTGCAAGTTGTGCTGGTATCAAAAAACCTTACCTGAATTTAAAAATTTGAAATCACATGAAAGTCAAATACATTGCAGCAGGCTAACAAACACAAAACATGTAAGAATTTTTAAGGGACTTCTCCGTTAACCAGGCTGGAAGTGAGGGGCATGTTAACAAGCAGATCAGACGTGATTTACATTCAATTCAAGTGATGATGACTCAGGAAGTTTCCATTCCATTATTTTTTTTTAAAAAACCACTATAGCTTAATGTGAGCACGCTCCAAATCGTAAGTAGGCAGAGATTTTGTTTTTGAAACATATACACTATATATTTTACTGCAGTAATTTCAAGAGTGATGTTTTTAAATTTTACAACTTCATCAAAATGACATGTTAATACTTCGCCCGTTTTGAAAATGATAGGAACCCATTTGAGAGACATGAGATCTCCAATTCATCAAGCTGACTGTGGATCACTGGGGAAAGTTTTTTACTGTGTCATCTTCATTCTGCACATACACAATTGTCTGGCTATTCATTCATTTAATCAGCAGGTACTTACTGAAAACTACTAAGTGGCAGACACATGTGGGGTAGGTATTGGGTACACAGCAGCAAACAAGACAAGACAGGGTCTGCCTCCCCACCCACACGGACCATGGACACTCAGAAAAGGGAGATCACTAGAAAGACCAGTTCCACAGCGACGCGGTCCCTCCACTGCAGGCTACACGCAGGATGACGGGAGGTCACCCCACAGCCCCTGGTTCAGCCTGGTGAGAAAGCTTGTAAAGGAGGTCAGGTTCAAGGCCTGCCCACAGCGAAGCAAGTCACTAAAACAGCCCTGAGCTGCATCTTTCATGCCTGATGTACATCAAGGTTTCAATTCTACAGAAAATCCTCTTACTTGACCTCCAACTAACCGAGACCTCAAGTTGGGCAGATCTTCAGGAATGTACCCCTAATGACTGCTACAGCAATCGACACAAACACATTCCCTTTTGGCTTGTACTAGCCTTCCCATAAACCCTGGCAGGGTTTTTAGCTTCCATTTTCCCATTAGCTTTGCTCACCTTTCTCTCCCAACCCCCACACGTTCCATTCCTTCACCTCCCTGAAGCCACACCCCTCAGGGAGGTAAATCTGAGTGTGCAAACAAGCATGCAGAGACCACAACACCGAGCAGATCTGAGAGTCTCATTTTCACATATTGTTGTTAACAATACGCTATTTCTGAAGCCACAGATCACAGCGCGAGAATTAGACAGAAACATCCCTTTGATGTTTAATGGAAACTTCTAACTAATACCAAGCCCCACTGAGGATGATTTTTTTAAGCTAAATGATCTATATGATAGGATCATCAGCCCCTCTAAATCCACGGGGTCTCAGTAATTGCCCACAGACAACAGTGTGGTGATTGCGAGGGGGTGGGGGTGGGTGGAACTGGAAAAGGGGATAAAGGGGATAAATGGTCATGGAAAAATACGATAAAAATAAACTATGAGAAAATAATAAAAATAAGTAATTGCCCATGACTTTGTATGAAAATCTCCCCAAAAGGTTGTATGGCTACATACCTGTTCCACAGAATAAGCTGTAATCCCTAGCCACATGCTATAAGCTGATTTAACTTAGCGCCATCTTTACAGGACATTTTTCCTACTTTTGCTAAAATGCATTAGCAGATTTATAAATCCAATTCAAAAATTTTAAAAAGGACTAAGAACTGTGTCACCAGGCAGTTTATCTTTCCTGTCCTTATACCTCTTTAGCTAATACTTCAGGTATCACTGTAACAGGAGAGAGTTCTTTTCTTTGCACGGATAAGTCTGTTACTTTTCTATGAATACATATTATATACACAAGACACATCTAACCTTTTACAAGGAAAGATTATGATAGCTTTTTTAATGCTGATCTTTTTTAAAGCTTCATTGAGGTATAATTGATAAAACTGCAATATAGTCAATGTGGTGACTGATACATATGCATCGTGAAAACATTCCTACCATGGAGTTTTAAGTGTTAACACATCCATCACCTCACACCTTTCCTTCTTTTCTTTCTTCCTTTTTACCTCCTTCCCTCCCTCCCTCCCTCTCTCTTTCTTTCTTTTTTTCGAGAGAACACAAGTTCTACTCTCTTGGCAAATCTCAATTACACAATACAGTGTTATCATATAGCCAGCATATTATTTTTCTATACATTAGATCTTCAGACCTTAATTCATCTTGTAACTCAAAGTTGGTGGCCTTTCACCAGCCTCTCCCTGTCTCCCCCACCTCCCAGCCTCTGGCAACCCCCGTTCTGTTCTCTGTTCCCATGAGTTTGACTTAGGTGACACCAGACAACCACACGGTATTTGTCTGTCTTCGTTGAGCTTATTTTACGTATTAGCATTATGTCCTCAAGGTTTATCTGTATTCCTGTAAATGGTAGTATTTCCTTCTTTTTTAAGGATATATATAAAATAACCTCACATTGTCTTGATCCATTCATCTATTGACGGACACTTAGGTTGCTTCCACACCTCGGTGACTGGGAATCTCACCACAGAAGCACAGGAGTCTCTTCCCGCGCTCGCATCTTGGTCTCTGCCGGGCAGTGCTCCCCTCACCTCTGGATGTATCCCCGGCGGGGGCGGGGGGGGGGCACTGCTCGTGGCTTTTTTTCTTTACCTTCATGTTTTGAACTAGGAGCACAGTTTCATAAAAAAAAACCTACTCTTCTAAAATTGGGAAGAAAAAAAAATAAGCAGAATCTATTTTCAGAAAAATCAAAGAGATAACTGACTTTAAAAAAAGTCTGTGGGAAAATATTTGTATTTATGTGATATGATGGATAATTCACTTTCCTCAAATTACTCATGGACTTTTTCATTTTAGATAGAAAAGCCAAAACGACTGTAGATAGTTTCGTTGTCAAGAAAGATACTTCTAGAAATGAATTAAAAGTGGCAACCCCCGTAAAGAAATCCTGGGCCAAAAAAGGACGTGAATATATCCCAGGCAACGTGGAGGACCGGACAGGCATCAAACGCTGACTGCGACGGGCACGCTGGGAGCTGTGAAGTCAGCAGCTAAGAACAAGATACAGCCACATTACCAGCAGATCAGGAGCAAAGTCCCCCCTTTCTTCCTCTCATTAAAAAGGGAAGCCAAGATAAGGCGATATCTAATCTAAAAAACTCCTTTCTTTTATGGAAGAAAGAGCCAACATCTAAGCTCCATATAGAAAGGATGCATGCACAAATAACTGATCAGTCTGTTTTCCCATCTGGGCTGCTTCACTACAATGAGTGTTCACACAGCAGCCCACTGTGGGTGGGGGAAGAAAGGTAGTTTAAAAGGGATGTCTAGCCATGAAGCTTTGGTGTCCTTGGGCCATTGTTAACACCCTTTCACATTTCATTGTGCATGTTAAAAATAATGCATAAAGAGATGTTGCATGTGACGTGAGGATAACCTGAGAAAGTCAAATCTTCCTGTTACAAGCAATCGCTGGCATCTGAGAGGATGCTCATTCCCCACCTCACACTCATCCGGTGGCAAGGCAGTCAGTTGACAATAGGCTATTGTCTCCAAAGAAACAGGAAGTGTGGCTTCTGCTTTCATTATGGGAAAACTCTCACTTCCACAAATAATAACGTCTAGACGTGTGTCTCAGGAACAACAAGAAGACGCCCTGTCAAGATGATACATTTCTGCTGGATTTCCTGCAGGGAGGTGTGGGGGAGAGGAGGTGTGGGCAAGGGGACAAGGGGGAAGAGTGCTGGCGTGGGAGTGGTCGTGGGTCGCATGCCCGCGTCAGTGCCACGGCTGGACTTCCTCTCTCGGACCCCGTCTCTTTAATTAATTGTACGATCAACCTAAACACGTGCCCAGGCGATGCT